CAGAGTGAAAGAGACAGAAACAGATGGAAGGAGAACATACAAATAGTTTCTCTTACTCTGTGCCTAAGATTTTGAGCTCTTGAAATTATATCTTTTGATGAACAGAAGTTCCTGATATAATCCAAGCTATAATTTTTTTCTTGTATAATTAAAGCTTTTTGTGACCTGTTTAAAAATATCTCAGCCTTTATTCAAGGCCTCAAGGATGTTCACTTATATTTTCTTCTAAAAGCTTTATTATTTGACATTTCATATTTAGATCTGCAATACATCTAGAAAGGATTTTTTTTTGTATGATATGAGGTTGGGTCAAGATTTTCCTCCCCCAAATTTTAAAACACTTATTCCTAAAGATATATGTAGCCCTATGTACATTGTAGCTTTATTTATGCTAGCCAAGACATGGAAACAACCTAAATGACCTTTGACTAATGACTGAATAAAGAAGATGAAATACTACTCAGCCATAAAAAGCTGAAATGTTGCTATTTGCGACAACATCGATGAATCTTGAGAGTTATCATGCTAAGTGAAATAAGTCTGACAGAAAAGGACAAGCACCATATGATTTCATTCATATGTGGGATATGAAACAAAATGCAACAAACAAAACAAACTCATAGATACACACAAAAGAATAGTGGTTACCAGAGAGGAAGAAGGGTGGGGGGAGGGTGAGGAGGATAAAGGGGGTCAAATATATGGTGACAGAAGGAGACTAGATTTTGGGCAGTGAGTGCACAATGAAATATACAGATCTTGTATTATAAAGTTGTACTACTGAAATTTAGATAATGTTATTAACCAATACTACCCCAATAAATTTAATTAAAATTAAAAAACTTTTTCCCACCTGGATATTTAACTTGTCCAGCTGATTTACTAAAAGACCATCCTTTCCCCAGAACACTAAACCATCAATTTTTCATAAATCAGGTAACTGTATATATGTGGGTTTGTTTCTGGACTCTATTCTGCTCCACTGATTTATTTACTTCTCATTTTTTTTGAAGTTATAATTGACATATAACATTATATTAATTTCAAGTATACTACTTGTCATTTTTTTTATCTCTTTTATTCCTTTATGACTACTTTGCTTTGGGAAGGAGTGAGGATAAGCTCTTCTTTCATCTGTAATTTTTGAGTCCTTAAGAACTCACATTTTATTGTATAAACTCAATTACAAAGCATTATCACCTGGTCCTCTGCACATAATCTCTATTTTTATCATGGCAATTATTAGGTATGTAAACACTTAGAAAAATAATCTATTAAATTTATATAAAGTGCTATTTGACAACTACATGTGAATTCTCCAAGTCAAGTCCTATGTCTGTTTAATGCTATCATCAGTGCCAGATACAATCAATGCCTGGTACCTAATAGACATTCGATAAGTGTGTGCTGAATGAATAATTATATTAAAGACTGTGGAGCTAAAAGAGCTAATGTTAAAATGAAATTAGGAAAGCATTTACTTCAATTGACCTACATTTTCAATACTGGGAGGACATAAGAAATACCAGACACAATTAGAAAAAAATCTGAGGTGATAAAGGCAATTATAAATTTTTTGCAAAATAAGCACAGTTTTGGTCTTAACAACTAAAACAACATGCTGAAAAAGTACATGCTGAATAAAAGCTCTTTTGAGTCCAATTTCTGTTCGCTGCAAGTGCTATGTTGAAATGAGTGTAGGACAGATTTTAGTAAAGGCTGTCTCAGAGCCTCACCTTGGGAATCTCCTACCTCACCCTTAACTGCGTGTGTTCACTTACCGATGGACAACATAATAGTAAAGCATAAAAGGAAAAGACAAATTAATTTAAAAACAGATATAAAATTTAAAAGACAAGCCTGTAACATCTTTATCTAACACTTTATTTAAAAAAAGGTCTAGTCATAATTTTGTAGAAAATCTCTATTGACAAGGAAAATGAAAAATACACTATTCTAAATAATAATCAGAGCAAATATTTATCTAGTTTCGATTAAATTGAATTAAAGAATTGACATTATTCTTTAAATATAGGCCTGTGTGTGTGTGTGTGTGTGTGTGTGTGAGTGTGTGTGTAAAGATAGGTATGCATACACTAAAAACTATACACATTTAGAATAACAATACTTTTATAGGTCAGGTTAGAGCATAGTTTTCATGCATGTTGCTAAAGATTTTATCTTCCCCCTACTCCATCCCAACTAACAGGTATCTTAGAACTGCAAGTGAGAAATAATTTCCTCACCTGGTCACGGCGTCCACCAAGAATGGTGCTGGGGGTGAGATCAGCGAGTTTACATCTCTATCACCACATCCCTCCTTCCCCATCAAGGATGGTCCATCTCCTGTGAGTCCATTAGAAAGGACACTACTCTGCTGAAAGAGACATACGACATGAGTGAGCAGAGGTGACAATACCTACCCAGTGGTCAGTACTTTAGCTCTAAGTCATCTCCTTTAATGATTATGGTAATAAGGAAATGATTTTGATGATCATGGTTGTTTTGGTTTGTTTGTTTTTAACCATCCTTCCCCTCAGATTTTTATTTTTGTCAGCATCCGTAAGCATTGACAAACAGAAAAATTAAATTACTAGTTTGAAGTAGGTATTAAGTCAGTTAACAGAGCTTTGATAATGACTCCATGTTTTTAAGGAAAAACAAGAGTCTGGTAATCCTTTAGGCCTCACTCTGAAAGAGTAACCAATAGAAAAATTGCAAATATCATTAACTTACTGGCACAATCCACCGGGGTGTGACCATGGATGTTGAAGATACCTAAAATAAATTACATATGTTTATTTTTAGGGTACGCTGATAATTTCATAATTCTACTCATAATGCTCTCGTCTACTATGAAATGCATTGGGGAGGGGGGCAGTTCTTAATAGGCCCCTTGAGCTGACATGGACTTCTAAAGCCAAGATCGTTTTTTCAACATAGATGCCATATCTCTCCACTTAAGAAATTGAGATAATTTTGAGAATTTCTTATTCTAAAAGTTTACTCCAAGAATGCTACTACTTCTTTCAGTTCATTTAATAGGACTTTCCCCCACCCCTAACTTCAGTTTAACATTTTATTTTCTGATATTTCAGTTCATTTCAAATAATCACAGCCTTCTTGGTAGCATTCTGAACAACAGATTGTGACTAATCCAAATGACTAGCACAAGGAAAGTACACAGAAAACAAACATCTGTTTAGCTACGGGTCAGTCTCTAATTATCAAGCATATGTGTAGAAAACAGAAATAAAAACACCCATATTGCTTCTGCATCATAGAGCCTTTGTTAGATTCATTTTAATGTTTAATTTTGTAGATCTTACTTTTATGTATAGAATTAAAATATAATGAACTCCCTTATTTTATGGAAACTTAGACTAGCCCTTGCACTGTTAGCTTTAGATTCTGATATGAAAAAAAGTTAATATAAGTTCAGGTCTTAATAAGTTTGGTAACCACTAGAAGAATAAAAATACAAAGTATGGCTTTCCCACCAATATTAATAAAATGCACTTTAACCATATGAAATAAATGAGAAAAAAAATATGGTAAAAGTAAACAAAAAATAGTTTGGCAGAAACAAGTCCTATAAAACCATATTCACAGTAAATATAAAGGAACTAAATTCAGTCAGAAGATAGAGACTCTCAAGATTCTAAAAACAAGATCCAGCAAAATGTTGCTCATGAAAGGTCCATTTACAACCAACAGATCAGAAAGATTGAAAATAAAAGGGCAGAAAATTATATACTAGGCAATACAAACTTAAACGAAAGCCGGGGTGTTAGTTTAATATTAGTCAAAAGGGAAATTAAGAGAAAAAAGGGCAAACAAGGATACTTTAAAGTGCTCAAAGAAACTCCAGAAAGTAAAATTTCTATCAACATATTTGCATTATACAGCATATCTTCAAAATATGCAAACAATAACTGATTGATCTAAAAACATGTGAGTAATGGATTAATCAAAATTGTAGGCAGATATTAAACATACCCTAGAAACTGACTGAATATTCAAGAAAACCAGAGAGAGAGGAAAAAAAAAATGGTGTAGATGATAGAGGTTTTGTTCATCCCTCTTGCGACCAAATCAAAGTTCCGACAGAAACATGGAGCAAACAGCAAGCAAAGTCACCGAAGATCTAGATGAACAAGCCCT